CGGTTCCTGGTTCCCCATTTCTTTAGGTAGGAGGCAGATCAGCAAGAAGGCAGAGAATATCCCACCCAATCCCAGTGCCTCCCCACTTGCCAATTTTTTAGGTAGGCAAGTAGTTACAAGGGCTGGAAAGGGGAATGGAATGCTAGGTAAGTAATAAAAATAAAAACAACATTCTTCTATATATGATGTATACTGAACGGGCTATTAAAGAATTCCAGTTAGACCAATCACTCTACTCTCTAGGCAGGACCAGTTTAAGAGGCAGAGGCAAATGTACTTGTGAACCCTATTAGCTCCAGGAAGTCGTGCCATCCTGAGGTGGATAATGCCCTCCATAGGACACAAGGGAAGTACAACCCCTTTTATTTCTTAACTCAGACAAATCATAGGAAAATGAATCTACCAAGAGGCAGAAAGACTAGGCATGTTTGATTCAATGGCAAGAGGCAGTTAAGGATGGTTTCACATTTCTATGATGACTTCTACTCAGTAATTCAGAAATGTAGGAACCATATGGGAGATATGGAATTGCATGTCAAGGACTATTAGCAACCAAGTGACTCCAGCATATTCGGACACAATAACTTCTCCTACATGACTCCTCCATTAATAAAACAACTGGACAAGACAACTGTTTTACCTCCCTCAACTCTCAGGTTATCTCAGAAACTTTAAGTCTAGGGATTGACATAATGCACTTTTTATTACTGTTTGAATCAGAATACTTGGACAAATAGGCCAACATAAAAAAGTGTAATACAATACTTCATCTGAAGAATCTCATTCACAAATTTTGACTCCTACTTGAGTATCATTTTGAAGCATTAAATCATTTCCTTGCTGTTCTTGCTTGAACTGATGTGACTGCCCTCTCCTAGAGCATTCCATCATATAGTGGTATATTTGTTACATAATTTACATGGCATCAGACTGTACTGCAGCCCAATCAACTCATTGTGCCTCAGCCTAACAGGTAGAGAAAAGACCTTTCCATTCAAGTGAGAGTGAACATTTCAATAGCTGTGCCATGAACCAGTAACAGAAATCTAAAGGATGAGGTGAAGGAAAGATCTTTGTCTCACTCACACACATTGAAAATGTCACAAGAACTGTGGTTGCTGAATTGGGAATTGGAAGAGAAAGAAGACACACTCTGGATCAGCTACTGAATTGTACAGAGGATTTGGGTTAGATTATGGAAATACTGAGGGACAAAAGGGGAAAAAATTCTGACAGAACTGTATTGACAGAGGAGGAGGCATGAAATAAGAGAGGAAAGGGGGCAGAAAAAAGGGGTAATTAATTTGCTTCTTGTTAATAGTAACTCCTTTTTCTAAGATTATGTTCCTTCATAGGAAGATACAATGTCATGGAGACAGAAGCAATGAAGAGACATGGGCATCTGCTTCTGTTTTAAGAATTAGAAAAATTGTGAGAAAATTAACTCTGCTTCATAGATTCAACCTTTCAGCTGGCTTGTTAATAGCAGGATGGAGCTCAGTGCTTAAGCCAAACAACCCGCTCTTAAACAGAAGGAATTCTACCAGTGTACATGTCCCATGGCTTGTACTGCATGTGTGTAAGAGAATAAAAATAGCTCTACATTTCTAGGTGCTGGTTAACGGCAGTCACAGTGAAGTTGCTCGTTTTGCTAGTCTGTAGAAATGTATGCCTTTTTATATTAAACAAACCTATTTGTAGGTTGACTGGTATAATTTTATTTAAAGCAACATAGACTTCAAACTAATTTATATTTTGCCAAGGTACTATGAGAATGAGTACCAAGCAATCCAATATAATTCCATTTAATTTTTAGTTCATGTCCAAATGGAAAATTTCTCAGGTCAAGCAAATTAATACCTGAAATTCATGTGACATGGTGCCAATTTCCTTGTTAATCCTCAATCATAGTTGGATGAACTAACATGGAGAATACATGGGGGGGGGGTGTTCTCCAGATGTGTGGACTTCAACTTCCATGGTTCTCAGTGATGGTGGTGCTGGCTGGGGAATTTTGCAGATTGTCCAAACTTCTGAAGACTGCTAAGTTGGGGAAGGTTGGTCTAAGTGAGGGGTTGAAGGAAGATTGTTGTACATGATTCTACACAATTTTATTCCCCTTTTTTCTGTAGTGTTCTTTCTTGCAGCACTGTTTATCTGCTCAACTGCATAGCCAGGAGGTGTCATCTGGATGCTTGAAGTGATTTTTGCCTGTCCTATTGTTCTAAAGTGTTATGTGGATTTAAAGTAGAGAAAAATTATTCACTTAAGCCTTTTTAGAATATGGAGCCTGATGATAAAAAAAAACACAAAGCCAGCTTGGATTTTAACTGCATACTGATTAAATACACTGTTCAGAATAAGCATTTATTAAATAATGCCAGGGTCAAATTGGACAGTGTTATTCATATTTTTAACTGGGGTGTATATTTATGCATGTATTGCTGAGGAGAGGCCCAATAGGAGCTTTTCTTCTAATGCAAACAGCAAGTCTGGGAGTTGATCCTGACTGGAACTATGTCATACATATACCCTGATTTTGATGTGGCATGGCCTGATGGCATTACTTTCATCTAATCACTATCCCACAGCAGAGACAGATTGCATCTATTTTTAGCTATTCCAGTTTTAAAATAGAATTTTCCCTTTTCTCCTGACACCATCATTTTTGTTGTGGCCATGAACTAGCATACTTCATTGATAATGTGGTTGATGATGCAGTCTGCCCAGGATCACTTTAGGCTGCTGAGGATAACTCTCCCTTCTGGTCCCTGGGAACTGTTTTCTATGTCCACTCTACTATTGGCAGCAGGAAAATCTGGTTCATTCAAACTAGGCTATCCACTAAGTCTCTTGATCGATTCCTGGCTTGGAGATCTGCATCAGCCAAAACAGAAGCTGACTAGTGGGGGAGTGAGGGGTGTTGCACTGAGAAATAAAAGAAATACAGATATCTCCCTGTCACTTCAGAGTGCAACCATCCTACCACACCTGACAGCTATTAATATGAAATGTATTAATATTTACCCAACATGTATTTGATTACAAGAGAATCTGGAAGAGGTAGCTTATCACTTGCCAGGTCACCAGTTGGATGGATCAGCTCTGTGGGGTCAGAGACCAGTAGGGTAAAGAGCTGGCTCCTCTCTCTGTCTACTTCTCCTGCAATTGCAGCCGTGGAAGGTAAAGAACTGACTATCCATCTCTATCAATCAGCCTGAAAAACAGCTGAAAGGAGCTGCAATGTCCACCCAAGATGTGTCTACTTTTTTTTGTTTTACACAGAAATAAGAGTTTAGCACTCTTTCAGAAAGAAGAGTTAAAAATAGCTTGAAAAACAGCTGACAGGCAAGGGTGGCAGTTGCAAAGGGAAGTGGGAAGCTCTGCCACTACACTACACCAATGTCAGCTGTTATCCAAGCTATTTTTAACCGAAAGAGCACTAAACCCATATTTAAAAGCAGACAAACATGGTCTAGTGATCTTTCACTGGATCCATGTCTAGCACTAAACTTGTGTTTAAAAATAGCCTCCCCCACACCTGACCTGTTAGCTGTTTTCTGACAGGCTGACTCCCTGCTCCTGCTCCTTCCAGCTTTTCAGTCTGGGCTAAGAGAGGGGTGGGAGAATTTGGGACAGACTGCTCTTCATCCATCTTCAGTGGATCTCTAAGAGAAGGGTGGGCAGGATGTGCACTAAAGTAGGAAAGCCACATTTTGGCAAAAGGCTAAAATCATGGGTCTAGCCAACTATCAACATTCTCCTTCTCTCCTCTCCCCACCCTTCCACCCCAGTTCATTAGGGAGAACACTTGGTGGTTGTATTTTCAACTGGCAGGTCCCTTTCCTTAAATTTGTCCCACATCATTCCTACAATAAGGAAAGACTCACTTGCTAGCATTTTTACTGAGGCAGAATAAAGCTTGGCAGTTAAGGTAGGAATTTCACATCAGCATGCTTCTCTGCTGGTTCAGGGGCTGTGGGATCGCACATTACCCCAGCCATGAAGAAATAAACAATAAGATATTTAGTTTTGTCACCTGGCTGGAAACAATCAGGAGAATGAACTTCTTGCTGCTTTATTTGTATTTTCCTGCTTTCAAACATAGTGAAAATTACAAAGCATGAAAAATCATATAAATGTGCTCCATTTATTGTGACAGACATAAAATTATTTTGGCCCTGAATACTGTTGCATATATGTTCTGCATTCAGAGAAGATGGGAACTACAGAAGCATGATTTCATTTGGAGAAACTGACAAAGATTAGTGTAAGTTTTAGTTACAGGTTATATTGTTTAATTGCACAAATGGTTGGCTTATATGTGGATATGCTCTATGAAAATATACTGTCACTGAGTGGAGATAATACTTTATCTTCGAACTTTCTTATTTAGACATCAAAGGCATGCTCATATATAGTATTCATTGTGTTGTATAGCTTGTCATTGCAATGTAGTTAACTAGATTTTAATATCAAAATGATGTTTTTATTTGTTACTTTCACATTTTAAAGTCATATAACTTTATACAATAGGTTTGGATCTTTGCTCTCTCTTCTTTGTTATTCTTAATGTATTGGGGACTGGGGTTAGGGTTAGGGAATCTATATCAATTTAGGTAGTCTTAAAGCAATCTCGACTTTTTAGTTTATTTGGAGAGTTCTAAGGGAATGATAAACTAAACAATGTTTCTTTGCTAGATGCAGGACAGGCTGGTGGTACTTTGATGAGATATTCGAGTAGGAGCATGCACCTCAGATTTGTTTCTTACCCACCCCCTATCTATTGGCCATAATGGAGTCTCTGAAACATGAAACGCTAACAGAACTGAACGGACACACTGTAATTGCTCAAAAAATTGGAATGGGGAAGGGGAAGAAATGTACAAAAATTATAGGTCTGTTTTTGTTCAATTAAAAATAATTAAAAATGAAGCTAACTTGAAATATTGTTTCTTTCTTTTAAAAAAATAATACACACACATATATATATATTCTACCTTATAAGCAACACGGGCTGGGCATTTCTTCCCTAACCCCAGGGGTGGAGACATATGTCTCAGCATCTCATACATGTCCATGAAAGTCATCCGGCCCCTGGGAGCAAAAAATTAAAAATAAAAAATAACCAATAATAACCAATAGTAATAATTTTTTAAAAAGGAAAATACACGGAAAAATAGAATAGAGAAAAAGAATTACAAAGAAGAAAAATATTGAAAATCAATTAGAAAAGAAAGAAGATAAAAATGAAAAGATTACTGTGCTGCTTGTCAGCAAGGAGTATGAATATACTTGATCTTCATGGATGATTATGAGTAGACAGATTGTTCCTAATCTAATTGTGGTCCAGCAAAATACTGGTCTATACATTCAAAGTTTGTGTCCCTGTCACAAGAGGTCAGATTTCACTTAAGCATGTGTCATCATCTGCCTTGCTCACTGTGAGGTTAAAATGCAGATCACAATCCTTATATTCTTAATTGATCAAAAAATACAGAGTCAGGTCTTCTTAGAAAGAAAGAGAGAAAGAGAGAGTGAGATAAGAAAGCCCCTCTTTGCCAATATCGGAGAAGGGAGGACTACAGGGAGAAAAGGTGGTGGGAAAAAAAGGCTGGAAAGAATTGGGGAGAGGGGGAGGGAAGGAGAAATGGTAGAGTGTTGATGGAGTCTCTGTCCTCCCCAGATGAAGTATTAATGTGCAGAAAGTGGCAGTGGTGGGTATAGAGAGACTCATAAAACCTTCCAGGCCTAGCTCCAGCTAACAGCAAGCAGAGATGGTTCAAGGTAATTGATATGCTCCATGCGTTACTGGTCTGGGTGGCAGCATCATTTCACGCATTCTGTTGGCTAATTACATTACTAAATTACTTTTGAAAGTGCAATATATAGATAGGTATGTGTACAGATATATATATATACACACATATATATATATATATATGAAAGATATATATTAAAAAAACCATAAGCAACATTCATTCCGTTGATGCTAGCAGGTTTTAGTGTAAGTCAAACCTTGCAAGCAACCCTATGAGGGCATTTCTTGCCTAAGCCCAGGGGGGGAGATATTACACGTAATAAACTGTACATATCCTTATAATGAATTCGGCCACTGCAAGAAGAATACACGGGGGTTAGTGCAGACGCTACAGGGCAAAAGAAACACATACACTGTTATGTACACACAGAACATAGCAGAACTAATGGCTAGAGACCTTGAGTCCAGCAATACCATTTCCCTCTGCTTATACGAAGGAGCTGAACTTTCCCATTGGCTGCAGTAGGAAGAAAGGGGCTTCTTAGAGCCATGCACATCAGTTTTTACTGATGCTTCCCATCAACATTGTGAGAAGGGAAGTGAGCCAGTATAAATTACAATAGGAGTGGGCAATCTGTGGCCCTCCAGATGTTGGTCAGTGACTTAATCCTTTACTATGGCCATGTATGCTAGGGCTTATGGAATTTGGAGTTCAAGAACAGCTGGAGGGTGACATGTTGACCATCCTTGGTTTACATTCATATACTAGGTAGGTGTGATGTAACAGAAGCCTTATACAATAAGAGATAATGTAGCTGAGATTTACATCAAATCAGAACTTATCAGAGCTTCCTGATTCTTGGGTACTAATTTGTTTATCTTTCATGTGGTTTAGTTGTTTTTTCAGAACTCAAAATGAACTTGTTAAAATCAATCACTGTCGCTATGCGCTTTTATATCAATATTTTATTTCTTTTCACTGGTTTTATTAATAAATATACAGCGACTTGTACTTAAGTGGGGGCAGAACTAGATTTTCAGATAATAAATAATATCCAGATAGTGCTGGGTGGATCTTCTGCTAGGTACCAATTACAACTTTGATAATTGTGCCTGCTTATAGTAGCATTGTGGCTGGCTTCTCTCCAGCAAACCATAGACAAATTTACAAGAACAATTGTACAATAGAATGGAAGGCCAGACCCTGGCAGATAGACATACATACACGCACACACATAAAGTCACTTTTAGACTGAAATAATAAGAGTATGTCATCTATTGCTACCAGAGCTACTAAGCATCCTTCCCTGATTGATCAACAGTACATAATATCTGTGAGTTTTATGCAGGATGCAAAACTAGTAGCTCAATAGTTTTTCTTTGGCTCACATGTTGTGAAGTGGGCACAAAATATTAAGCATTATCACCACCAGGATCTCAATTTAGACTAATTTTTTGGCTCAAATGTTCTTAGCATTGTTACCCGTTTGTCCTATGGAAAGGGCTATAAAGCCCGCAACTCAGATTAAAGGAATGGCATGGGTATATCCCTGGCCACAAAGGGACGTATATCATGTTCTTTTGAACATTATGGGTTAAAGTGAAGGTGTGTGTGTGTGGACTTGACAGAATCCAGCTGCAAAAACCTAAAATTAAAAAAGGAAATGTTAAACAGTGATTAACTCCCACATCTATTTCTTTCAGTCAGTTTTTTATAGTAAGACCCAGAGAAATTAGCCAACAGGAATGGAAATGGGAATAGCAGAAGGTCAGTGGCCACAGCTCCACAGTGACTGGAGCTCTGCTAGAGTGCGTGACTCACAATGGAGCACATGCAAACAGAGGCAGTAGCTCCACTTCTGTCTCAGCTTAATATCTGTCTTTCTCTCACAACACAGCAGTTGATGCTGTACCTATCAAGACCTACTATAGCCCAACTCTGTTAAAATAAACAAGATAAACTCCTAGCCTTCCTTGTGAAGAGAATTCTATTCTTCTATTCATCTTCTTGCTCTAGCTGGTCTGCCTTCCATTTTGGAATGAGTCCAAAAGCTTCTACCAGCCAAATACCCCTCCTGTGTAAAGGTAATAAAATAAACTTAAGTGGACTGGCGCTCACTTCTTCACTACTTCTAATTTTTAGCTCTCACTTTTCTACCAAAGTTGAAATCAGAATACACAAATATTGGGTTCCTGCCTCTCTGTTCATATTGAACTACTCCCTCCCCCTGCCATGGTCCTACTTATTAAGGAGCCTATCCCCAGGCATGAATCAATCAAATCCACTTCCTTAAACACTTGCTTCAGATGGACAATGGGTCTGGGTTTCATATTGGAAGAGGCAAGATAGATGTGTCCTTACCAGGCAGCAGGGTCATACTCAGCCCACACACGAACATACTCATCCAGGTGGTGGGGCCCCAAAATGGAGGAATCACGGGTCAGATATTCAAAATTGTCCATGATGACAGCCACGAAAAGGTTCAACATCTGCAATATCAAAATTGTAGTGAAAGATAGAAATATAAAATAACTAGAAATTCCAGAAAAAAGATGGATTTCTTTCTTGTTTCACATTGAGGCCTGGCAAGAACCTAAATCCATGTCTGCTCAAGCAGCTAATGAGAAGGGCCAACATAATACTAAGCAATATATTTTACACTCTTTCTTACACACAAGGATATACATTTTTAGATAGACGGATATACAGACTTACATAAATGCATACATAAAAGCAACAAAACAACTCAGTGAGGACTGAGCTTGTTCAGTGGATATGGACTACTGGTGGATTTTAGGGTAATCACAGGATAGAGCAAATAGAATAAGCTTTCTTGGAAGGGAGCACAATATGGAATCCTGTACAGAATCACTGCACACTGAAGCATATCACCAAAAATCAGTTCTTAATTTGTACAAAGATACTGGGTTAGATTATGTTGATCCAGATACTCACAAAGCCTCTCCTATTAGTTCCTGCAATAAAACAAGGAAACAGAAGCAACTAATACTAGAGGCATCTTTTAAACTGGGCTTAACAACCATAAAGAGAAATTAGGCAATTCCAGAGGTGCATAAATTTTCTGTAAATGTAAATGTTTTAGAAAGAGAGTCATTGCTTGAGATGCAAGTAGGCAGTTCAGTAGGTTATTGATATGGCCAGTATTGTACAGTTTGATGCCTTCCAGATTATTGGATTATCATGAACCCTTAACCAATGGAGGTAACAGAGGCTGGGGAAGTTTGACTAAAAGTAATACCTCCTTTTCAGGCACATACTGTAACCTACTTATCCCCATTAGTTGCCCTTTGCAGTTACAAAAATTAGGAAGTGATTAAATGACAGACATTAGAAATGAAAAATGAAAAAGTATATTGGTCACATTTAAAATATTTTAATCTCCTGGTGTTTATTTCTCCTCACTATTTTTTTTAAAGTTGAGTGCTGTTGTTGAATTGACAACACTTTCAATCTGCTTAACATCAGGAATGAAAAGTCACTACTCAATTAAAATATGCCATCTAGTTTTCCATACTGGTTTTCCATATTTTATCACAGAGAAAATGCAACTTTTTCTTTGAGATAATATATTTATTTATATTTCAAATTTGGACACCACCCATCTCATGAGGAAGTGACTCTAATATAATATAATCTCATGAGGAAGTGACTTTAATATAATATAATTTGAATACTGGGGGGAGGGGGAAAATATCTTCCTCGATAAACTGTGTGTTTACAGTACTATTTGGAATGTCTTCCCTGCTACCTATGATAGTTAAAATGTGTTTGCAAACATCTGTTTGCCTTGCAATAACCAATATATAGAAGTTTTATCCTTCCCTCTCTTATTTCTTTTATTGTATGTTTGATAATAATTTGAAACATTTGATTTTTAAAAACTATTCTGAAACATAACATCTCTTGGATAAAGACTGACAGTCCTACAACTGCCTGTTAAATCATACTGAAATATTATCTTAGAAAGATAGTCTACTGACATTTTAACCAGTAATATTCATACTCTCCTATAGCCCAAATGCATGCTGTATCCACCCATTTAATACTTTGTGTATCCTTTACTCACCAGGAAAGAACATAGGAAAATGAAGGAAACAAAATAGAAGTATGCAAACTCATTGCCACACTGATATCCTTTGAGATCTGCTTTTTCATCACAGAGTTTTCCACTTAGACAAGAGAGCATGATCTCATGCCAAGCCTCACCTGTGGCACTTCTGGGAAAGGGAGATGAAATAAGAACAGAGAGTGAGCACTGGAAACTTAGCACAGAGGGAACAGTCATATCTCCATCTGATGAGAATTGTGATACTAGTAATCAGAAGCCAGAAACTTGTGGGCTCAGACAGTATGGAATCATTGCTAGAACAGAATATAAACTATGATAATTACAAAATCACTTGTTGTCCATGGTGGACAATCTTGGAAATAAAAGAATTATTTTTTCTTACACAGAACTGACTCAGCCACTTTTTGGTGGAAGTAAGAAATAATGTCCGTTACATTGCTTGTTGAGCTACCAATATACAACTAATTTAGCTGAGAAAATGTCTAGTTTTATTTAGCAGAAGAAACTAATTTTTGCATTAGATGTAGGCTTGGCAAGCCTAAGAGGGTCAGTGCTCTTGATATCACAGCACATTAAAATGGTTTCCCTAGTGAAGTATAATGGCTGAGCCTCACCTAAAAAGAAGCATCAAAGCTTGAAAGAATGTGCGAAAATTATTGTGCTCAGTGATGGCAGGCATGTCATCCTCAGACATATCCTCGTCATGTTTAATGCTAATATTACCAAAGACCTGAAGAAACAAACAAAGATACATACACATAAAAAAGCCATAAAATGTAACTGAGAAAAAAATTGAACATTTTGGAAAAAGTAGGCATCATCGTCTTATGGGAAAATCAGTGCTTGAATACAAGCACTTCAGTGATAGAAGCTTGGAGTGCTTCTTCAGCAAGAGTTTGAAATGACCTATGGCAATTCAGCAACCAAGTAATTGTTCCAAGGGAAACACTAAGGGCCTGTGCCTTTAAAGAGGAGCCAGCTGCAGCGGGGCTAGAATGCCTTCTCTTGCCATTGATTAGAAGCAGTAGTGGAGCAGTAGCTACCTGCCTGAACTCCAGGTGTTTCTTGGGACATGTTCACTGAATCAAAGGATAAAAACAGAACTACTTCTCAGGCACACAGAATGAGGGTATCACTGCTCTCTGGACCTTCCCTATGTAGGAAACTGGCAGATAATTACGACAGAGGTTCTCTTTCAGTCCTTCCCATCCTTCCTCTCTAATAGAAAAGGATTGGAGAGATAAGGTCTAAGTCCAGAGCTGTGGTAAAAGGACAGTCCAGTGGAACACTGAAGTCAGATGATTATGTGAAACTTTTAAGCAATCAGGCTATTTCATAACAGCTACACATCACTACTTAAACATTGCTTTAAAACAGAAACAAAAGATATGAAACTAAACATCTCCAGGCTGTACTGGAATATACACAGCAAGTATTAACATGTTGCAAAGAAGGAGGTGGTTGTGGTGGTAGCAATAATGTCACTGATTCTTCAGGGTTTTCCACACTTGCCCAGGACAGCACAGCCCCCTACTAGGTGAGGTCTCACAAATTCAAAAGCCCTAAAATAAAACCAATAGTGCTACCAACCCTAAGCCATCACAGTGCTCCTATAGCAAGCATAATAATACCCAGCATGAGATAGAGGCTTACATGTACTTACCTGCATTCCAATAATGGCGTAGATAAAAAACAGCATTGCAATCAGCAAACACACATATGGAAGGGCCTAATAGAATGAAATAGAAGCATATATTTTCTAAATTCATTTTTTTAAACATAACCACACCAGTTTTACTGGGAATATGGCACTTTGCTTCTCATATACTTTAGTTGTTCCCAAAGGCTCACAGCTGGTTTTTGTTCTATGGACTAATAATAAACTTATTCTTACTAATACCTATTACATACTACCATGACTACAACAATCTTGCTATGACTGCTTGTACGTAAAAAGATGAACTCTTAGAAAAATACTCATGCGACTAATTCCACTGGCACCATGACAAAGAAGATCATGTTTCAAAGTTACAGTTAATAACTAGAGAATGAACAGAAATGAAAGAGGCAGAGCGGTAAGGATGCCAGCTCTAAGTCCTTAGCCTTTACAACTTTGTATTTTTACTCTCTGTCCCAAACACTTTAAATTAGTAATTCAGTATCTCTGATCATTACCTTAAAAGATTGGACAAAGGTCCAGAGCAGGATGCGGATGGTATAGCCCTGTCGGAGCAGCTTAATGAGACGAGCAGCTCGGAACAGCCTAAGGAAACTCAGGTTGATGAAGTTGTTCTGGGGAAATGAAGGGAAAATGGCACAAGCAAGATCAGAATGGGATGCAGAAACTGAAGATCCAGGGACTAGTTAAGAAAATAGATTCAAACCAACACTGCACCAGTTAGTAAAATTAGTAAGGGTGACTAAATAGCAAAGAAAGGAAGAGAGTCATCCAAAGGTTAGTTGTTAACATTACGATTGGTTCTGATTGGTTCTCATTTCTATTGTTTTAAATCTTATTTTACCAGAATCTTTTAGCAATTAAAAGTCCTTGGACTGAAATGGAATAGAAAGGAAAGGAATAGATAAGAGGGTCAACCCAACCCCCAAATAATCTAACTGGAAAATCAGTGATAACTCATCAATACAAGTATGTATTTTTGTTAAATTATCCATAACCAAATGCTCTGACATTTTTTTTTTTTTATACAAGTAGGTAGAGTTTTACTATCTGGCTTCAAATTACATGTGTTTAGTATATATAAACCTGGAGAAAAGGAAAAGGAAGACAAGTATCCCTGAGAAAGAGAATTGCAATTAAATATATAAGGCTCTGGATGTAAAATGCATCTGTTAGCCAATGAAGGAGTAGGTACTAGCAAGTAATCTGCAGCTAAACGTTTTTTTTTCCTTCTGGCAAAGTAGAAAACAAAATACAGCAGTTGCGTTTACCAGGATGCATTTTTACTTGTTTCCTTCTTCAGAAATGGAAAATAAGCTTTTGATGTAGAACACAACATAGTAATATATATTCTTTATATTGAGAAATGCTCTTCAGACAGAGACCCAGAGCCATTGAGAGCTGTAAATATCCAAGGGATATGAGGGTTAAGTTCAAGAACCTTTGTTTTAGATTTACTAGAGATGGTTAAATATTTGATTCACATCTTTGCTTGATTCACCATAGACACTTGCTGGCTCACAAACTAATTACATGGGTACTAGTCTTGCTGCATTAGATACAAAGAAATATATAATGTGGCTTCAGTGATTATGATCATGGTTGACAACCTGGCTGGTTCTAATTGTTCAAAAATCTTCTATGATGTCACTTCATCATGGGATATTATTGTATGTACCTCTGGGTTTCTATGAAATGTACATCACAGGACTAAATGTAGCTTCACTAACAGGTGCTTCAGGACCCATTATTACACAAACAAACTTCCAATAAAACTGTACACAAAAGAAAAAGACTCAGACACTACATATGCCAAGAACTGATGTGAATGCTCAATATATACCTGACTTTGACTTTGAACAAAGATTAAAGAGTTGCCATGCAAATTACACAGTAGACATTATAAGACACCTAATATTTCAGCTAAAAATCTCTATGTAGGTAAGCTTTACTACTTCTTCTCAAGAATCTACTTGCAATATATTGTGTCTCTGTGTGATTTTCAAGAAGCGATAAGGTCTTCCATCTCTAACCCACTGAGTAATGGGATTTTTGCAATTATGCAAGATGTAAGAATGGTGGCTGTATGACAGGATATAAAGGGGGTGACAGTGAAATATTTTAAACTATCAGACTAGCATCAGTTGGCCTTCATGCAGAGGGAATGAGAGATAGGCAGAGAAAGTGCCAAGTATGCTTATCAAGGAAAAGCGAGGCTCACTCTGCTGATGAGAAATAATATAACGCATCCTTCTCCTCCAGCTGGTTACTCTTTGCTGTGTTCTGAGACTCACTCCCAGCCCTATATTTTAAACACATTTTGTGCCCTGCCCTTTCTTTCTGACCTACATTGAGTTTCCAGGTTACAGTGCTGCCATGACAGCTACAGTCACTATTCAATAAGAAGGCTAGAATGGATGGTGCATACTCATTCCTCGTAACACTCCCAAAATACACTGCTAGTCTCACTCACTCACACATAACAGATTTCCTGACCAGGCCTCCAAGATAATGCCTTCAAAATCTGATTTTATACACCTTGAAGCTGTTATGGGATAATGTCAGCTTAAGCGGGAGATACTACATTTAAAACAATAGAGATGAAGACTTAAAACTGTCTCATTTATTGGGTGGAAGCACAAGATGAGGGCCATGGGAGAAAATAAGTGTTGTCAGAGTATTATTGTGCTACTCTTAAGCACAAATGGGTACAGGGTCAAACTGTGGTCCACATCAAAGAGCCCACATTTATTCATATTGGAACTTTGATATTGTCTATGGTGGATTTTTTTAGATGTTATCTGCCACATAGCTAAAAATCAAATAGGTTAGCTGAAATCAATAGTGCTTCCTTCATGACTTTTAAAACCTGTTCTATAATTTAAAAAATTACTTTTAGAAAACAACTGACATGAAGACAGCGACAAACCAAATCATAAACCACATCTGAACATTAGTATCTCAAATTATTTTTTCACTATAGGAATCATTTTAATAATTTTAGTGACACTTGCATTAAATTACAACAGTGTTCACTAGAAAATTAATTCAATCAATAGAATGCAGTTTTTTTTAAAAAATGTTTAGTTGGGCACTTTAGCAAACTTGCTTGAATTCCTCAGAATATTCCTCTGGAAACATGGAGTGGGCACTTCTTAGACTTCCACACATTAAGTAGAGCAAGAAATACCTCAAACTGCAATAACTACCCCTTGCAAGGTATGTATATATGTGTGTATATATTTATTAGATTTATAAACTGCCTCACTTCAGAGGCTCTAGGCAGGACACAAAGTGATGAATGAGGGAGAGATGAGGCTATGTTTTGCCATACATTTTGTACTAAGACTTTGTTTGGGACAGATGACCACTTGACACAGAGCAGACTTATTAACTTTCCTATCTTATGCAGGGAAGGACAGTCTGTTCTCCAAATCTGATGTATCCAAACGTGTATTTAGAGGGATAGGCATCTTGTGGAACTTTTAATATTTTTATCATGATATAAGCTTTTAATTGGCTACCATCCACTTCATTGTAAGTGTGAAGTGCAATTCTAAAAGGCAGACACATGTACCCAGAAGGAACATACAGATTAGGGATTTTCCTGTCACCAAGAGAAAGAAATATTTGATGTCTGGAAAAGGAAAGATGACCTATAAGATAATAGCACAAATTTAAAAGGGAAACAAAGGCAACAAAATATCCTCCAATTGGTCATTGTGCTGATACTGGCAAGGTCTCCCCTCTGAGAACGTCTGGAGGATAAAAGGATGGTGGTAAGGCTGGGCACTTCTCAGGAGCTGGAATCAGGCAAGAATTTATTACAGCTCCAAAGGAAATGTTGCAAAATTATTTTTGCAGCTCAGCTCAGCTCAGCTAATAGTTAAGTGGCTCAACTACCCAATCATCACAGTTCTACCAACAAGTCTTACCTGCTTTAATCAGGTAAGATTAATAAAAATCAGGAGAGAAAGTAGTTAATCATGAACTTGCAGAGATCCTGTCCCTGTCTTCAGGATACCCAAGGTGAAAAGCATTAATAAGTGAGGATAAATCTATTCTGAAAACTCTTCCATATCGATAGCAATTCTATCTTTCTATTTATCCTAGCTGATCAAAGCAGGTATGATTTGTGGGTAGAACTGTGAATACTTCCCTGAAAGAAAATCTAGTAAATAATCTATATTAGAACATTTTGAAACAAGTCCACAGAGAGTTTCACATTTTGTAGTGCAGCATGAAACAACAACTCCACTAGTTTGTGATTCTTTTCAATCTAGCTTTCTACTGGTTTAGGGACAAAAAGTAATATAACTGTCCTTGTGGATTACCTATGCTACAAACTAGAGGGGGAAGCATCTCTGGGAGATCTTTCAGAAGACCAGAAAGAAGGAATGTAGTACCCCTCTGAGCTAGCTGAGCAGGACAAGATTTGGCAGTGCTTTTTACTTCCAGACATACAGTACACAGACTTTAGATGATGGTACGTAGAAACTACTCTCTCTTTAGCCTATGGCTAGTAGCCTATATTACAATGTTTTACTCAACGGTATTTATGTAATGGCTTAGGCATGGCTCAGATACTTGAGCTGATTTGTCACCAGTATGCGGATGATAGCTAGCTATATTTGATAGTTATATCAAAGTATTCTTTATTATTTAATTTTGATATTTTAAAATATGCTGCTTTGAAAGCCTTTTTGGCTAGAAATGAGCAATAAGTACATTTTCAGGAATAGTTATATTCACTATTATTGCTGAATAGTGAAGTAAAGCTGTCTGAATTTTACTTTGTAAGAATCAGCTAAATTTCTAGAAAGGTCTGTGTCCTCAAAATCTGAAGGAAACAGATATTGGGTTTTTCACTAGCTTTCAATTGCATCTTTGTATCAGATGAAAGATAATTATGTTTTAATTAATTCTAATAAGTATTATTCTATACAAATCACATTCTGTTGTAAAGATTCAGATAATTCCAGTATTAACTATAAAAGAAAATGGCTTTTACAGAAGGTTATTAAAAGTCCTTTAGAGAAATACAGTTTTTCATAAACTTATTATTCCTTGGTGGTTTGACTTGGCTTTGATAACACTTTCAAGACCAATGCCAGCTTCTGCAATTTCTTATAGCATTCTGAATTCTAGGTTAACTAAGGCAGTACTTTCCTCTGTAATTTCTTCCTTCTTTTGCAAAGTGTGTTGAAATAACCCTTTCAATGCTAAAGAAATGAATCATTATATCAAACTGAGAAATCTAGATTATTTTTTTTTAAAATATTGTTCCTATATAGTGTAGCTGTTTCCTCACTCCTGCTAATCAGGCACATTCATTATCTTTAGAATAGGGCTGGAGATTAAACAGGGAAATGAGAAAGCTTCTCACTCCTGCTGATTTGAAAGAAACAGTTACAGGAAGATCTGGGTACAAGTCTCCTCACCAATGTAGTCTGATTTTAAAATTGCTGCAAACCAGTTGCTGCACTGGTTAACAATACGTTTCTGTGTCCAATTCAAAGTGCTGATTGTTAACTATAAAGCCATATACTGTGCAGCAATGAATTACATCAGCCACTGCCTTGCCAAAACTGATTTTGCCTATTTGGTCAAAACATCTTAAGAGGGCCTGCTGAGAATCCCTCTTCTTCAGGAAGCATATGGGACTTGAGTCAGGCAGCAGCCCTCAGTAGGGGCCTTCCTGCTCTGGAACATGCTTCTGCTAGAATTTGTGTAGAATTCTCTCTCCTTGCATTCTGCAAAACAGTGAAAATGTATTCCACTGTGCTTTTGGCCCAGAGTGATTGTGGGTGTTCTTACTTAGATAGCATGTCTTGTTCTGTTTTATCTTGTTTTATTTTTCTTTCTTTGTTGTACACCACTAAGAGTTTCATTATTGTGACAGTTTACAAATACAGCAAATAAATAAACTCAAAATTATCCACAGGGCTATGTTCCATACAGATCACTGTTCTGATCATGCTACCTTATTGGGAGGGTGGAAACCTAGAATAATGGCTTGTCAGATATATAGCTTGTTATCTGTATTGATGGTTGATAATTCTGTTGTACAGGTAGTCCTCATTTAGCAACTGCCTCATACAGTGACCGTTCACAGTTACGACAGTGATGAAAAAGTAACTTTGCAACCAATCATTGCATTTATGACCTTCACAAGTCTGTAAAGCAAAGGAAAGCTGAAGTAAGATCATAAGCGCTGTCACAATTTCACTTAATGACTGAGTTGCCAGTCCCAATTGTTGTTGCTAAACAAGGACTACCTGTACCTCTACACTCAGGAGTAACTGAATGACCCAACCACATCTGATGTAGATATCTAATAAAATATGCCCAGCAGTTGATTGGAAAAAAGCAACACCAGAACAATCCTATTAATGAGGGTTACATTAATCAGCTTCATCTATAAGTAAATATTTTGCATTCTCAGGAAATTTAATTTCTAGCACTATATTAGTAGTTCTTGTCTCGTCTGTTAGGATGTCCTAGATGCTAATTGCTAAGCATTAATTCTTGATATATATACACATCTTTTGGAAAGTGCAAACTGGCCCTTAATCTGCTCTTTGATTTCAATTGATGGTAAACTGCATACTAAAAGGACTTAACAATTAATAGTAATCACATTGAAGAGTCAGATTAATATTGGTATAAGCACCTCCCTAGATGGACATTGGCATCTTTATTCCAATGTAAACTGCCTCACTTGAGTTCTTCTGATCTTCTGCCAAAATAAAGGGCTTCAATAAAATGAGTACTCATAAATGTTACAAAGAGTAGGACCTGCACACACATAAACCTTTTAATGAAGAACTGAAATGTGGAATTGATGATATTTTAAATTTATTTGTGGAGAAAGGGAAAACTATTCACTGGTGAAAAAATAAGTCTAATAGGATTATCCTTGTACTACTCCTCTCTGGATTTTCTAATGTCTATCCTGTTATGATCTCAGTTTAATATGGTGAACTTCTTGTGTTTCAATTCTTATTCCCCACTCCTTGCAGAATGCCTCCCCCGCCCAGAATGTAATGCCCACCAGTTTTGAACTTACCCCAAACTCTGTCACTAAGATGTCTGTGATGCTACCCAGAACTGTGACAAAATCAAAGATATTCCAGGCATCACGGAAATAATTCTATAAAGAAAGAACAAAACAAAGGACGAAAAGGAACAGCCACACAGCAGCAAACAGGTGACAACATTCAGTCACGACGTAAGCAACAATAACAAGAACAGAGAAATTTCCACTAAACCCTCTCCCCTAATCAGCTCTGGGTTATCTTTTCAGTGCACTCCAATTCTTATGATTCAAATTACAAAGGAACTTTAATTACTAAGGATTCCTTGTTTATATCATCCTCTCTTTTTTTTTCTGAAATAGGGGTAGTAGGGCCTGTCTCACACACTCAGGTCAATGAAAGCACCTGTGTTCCCATTCTCAGAGACCCATGGTATCCTCCCATGGTCATAAATTTGGCTCCCACACACGAGAGTAGGGAAATGTTTGCTTACAAGATGTGCTGGGTGAGCACCTGAGGCAATGCTATTACCCAGTGAGGCCAAGGTACATATGCCTGTCTTGCAAGCAACCAGCAACTATGTACACCTTTCCTTAACTCCACTACATTTATCTGTAGGACGGTCACATGAACATCTATAAAATAAATACAACACACATGAGCTTAATAGTATGATTGCACCTGAGGGGACATTCTACTAACGAATTAGGCTTCTCTAAAGAAAGAAAACTAAAGGTTTCTAAAGCTTGACTAAGTAATGGCAAAGCTGCTGATAAGTGTAATTTAACCCATGAAAACAGCAAATAGCAAAAAAAGATGCTAGGATGAGTAAAATCTTAAACCAAGTACTTTTATTGGGGACAACAGCTTTAAATGGCTGTGAGGAATAGGAAGGCCATTTTCTAACAATCAAAAATATAATACTGTTAACTATCATTGCTCCAGATACTATTTATTTATAAGCATCTGTTGCCTGAAGGGTTGGCAACCATGAAGGTAAGGAATGGGAAAGATTTAAGATCCAGAGTTATCAAATATTGATCCTAATGCAGCAAGGAATACTTTGTGCACTGACAGTCTAAAGCATGTATTTTTGTTTGTTTAAAGGTAAGTTGTCTTGTGGAGTGACATTTCCATTATGCAGTTATTCTCACAATATTGACTGTAACAAATTATTGTTTCTATAAAACTTGTGGTTTTGTTTTCCCTTTAAATATCCAGAGACACTAATGAAATTTTTGGTCCAAGATCTGTCTGACTATAAAGTTTTTCAACCGAGAGCCAAGATCTTTACCATGGACTCAACAATGGAAATACATACTATTTTTCTTAGTTTGTGTGCTTAAGTGGGAGGGCCAACTCTTTCATCAAGAACAGGCTAACAAGCTACTGACATTTGCCCAGAATGTTTTCAGTTTTCAGATGACTATTCTTTCTGAGAAGTTATCTGGAAATCACTTAGCAATAATTATCTCTGAGTCATGGAGCTGCTTCTGTCAAACAAATTTTATATTAAAACTGATTATTTTAAATAATATTAGCATATCTTAAAATGTTAATTTTAATTAAAAGTTTAAAAGCCAGAATATTAACTTTGATACATGAAGTGAACATAATTAGTTCTGCAGCAAGAGAAGCCAATCTCTAGTCTGCTTTCTATACTCCTAGTAAATTACAGATTATTCCAATGACCTTCAGTGGCCAATTCCTGACAATCTATAACATTATATAGAAACAATGCATGAGAATCCTGAGAATTGTACGGTGGGATACATGTTTTAAACAGTTACAAATATTTTTTTAAATAATACACATAATGTATTTTTCCCTGTTTCATATGGTAAAGAATGTTTCTTATATTTTACAGTGGGGGCCTTATTATTATTCCTTGTGAATTCTAGCAAGAATGATACTTACCAACAATCCAAAGGCAATGATTTTCAGAATACATTCCAAGGAGAACAGGGCAGTGAAGACAATGTTGAACATCCTTAGTAAATTATCGTAAAGATTTGTTGCATTGTAGAACTATTGAGGAGGGGTATGAGGGAGACAGAAGAGAGAAAATACAATCATGAATTAAACTACAGTTAGGATAAGTGTAAAATATTGGTGTGATCAGAACAATGGTCCAGAAGGCCATGACCAAAGTAAGATTTCTGCTGTTAAGACTCAGGTTAGTCCATAGTTTAAGGATTAGTCTGCAGAATTAAGAAGAGATCAACAGGGTAAGATTAACAGGAGCTCAAATAATTATTCTGTAATATGCTTTTAGATAGATATAGATATAAAATATATATAGATATAAACAAGGCATTGTGTAGTTCAGGCCTATATAATTCACACAGGTATACAATACAGTATTTGTATTGTTCCATGATATATAGACAAGTCAAAACCCATATGATATATATTTGATGTAGATATTACCAATTCATAGCAATTTCTCTTCTACTTACTTTCATCATTAAGACAATGGTGTTTAGGGCAATCATGGCCATAATGGTGTATTCAAAGGGAGGTGAAACCACAAACTGCCACATACGGTACTGAAAGCTCTGCTTGTTCTGAGGCATGTGTCGGGTTAGTGGCTTGGCGCTGATAGCAAAATCAATGCAGGCTCGCTGTGAAAAGAGGAAGGAACAACAGTCAGGAACCTGTTAGTCTCTTTCAAGCAAAAAGATGCTAAGGAAAGTGTATATAGCTAGAGGTCCAAGGATGTACGTAATATTGAAAGCTGTGGGTGCAGCTCCAAGAACATATCCTAATTTTTTTGCCAAATTGTATTAATGATTTAGTTTGTATCCCCCCACCCCCTCCCCTCATGCTGTTGTCTTAACTCAGTCACTGTTTTTGAGTATGGCCTTTGGCACTCATTCAAATGTAATGTCCACCCTGGGCAAAAAAGGAAGTGCACATCCCTGTATTAAAGAAAAAAAAAGCTTAAATAATTCCTATCCTAGAAGAATCTAACTCTAAACAAATTGTATTATAGTCTGTTCGGCAAAAAAACAACCCACCTTCTTGCTCCCCAATCTTTGCTTTTACTGGTTAAGGAGATATAATAACGCCTTTCATCAGAATAGATAGTAATATGTGCAAATACTATGGACTCTTCCTCATGACTTTATAAATGTGCTTTCCTCCAGTTTCTGATATAGCACATATATACGACCATACTTTTTGCTGCCCTCACTGTTAGTTCTGCCTCAGCAGTGAAGTCAGCAACTGGTGCTTTCCCCACAGATGTAATGCAGAACAAATTAAGAAGAGATTGGTGGATACCTTGCCAGTAGGAGAAACAACAACAACATTTTCTCATTAAAGGAGGAGGCAAGTTTCAAAAGATGGCTAGACCTTTTGCCAAAACCTGGTCCTAGCTAGCTGGTCTACAGTCAAGGGAGCATACTTGCTTTACTGGAGAGAAACACCCCCCCTCCACCCCCACTCCCATTCCACATATATCAGGGTCTGTTTTAATCAGCCAGAATCTCCTCCTGATCTTTTGGGGGATGATAGTTCTCCCTGGTAAACCAATGATGCTGTCCTGCATTACTGAGTAATACTCTTCCCTTGCAGATTAGGTTTAAGATCTGATCCATGTGGTGTGGTGCTGCCCAGTAAAGTACTTTACCCACAGGCAGAGGTATTGGCAACTTTACAGAAAAACTCACTGTTCTTCACCTGCTTCTCCTGCCATCCCTCCAAGTCCTGGGAGGGCTAGCAACATATGTGTGGAGGGGTGGGTGGCTCTTAAGACATCAATTCCATGGATCATTTGTAGGACCAGAGAACTGGCAGCTACATAACTGCTTCCTCCCCCAATTCTCTTGTAGCCTTTTTGACACAAGATCTGTGTTTAAAAGTAGCTCTCTCCACTTCTCCTGCTAGCCTAAGAAAAAAGTGCCAGTCCAAGGATGGGTAGAATCATAGGGAGGAGGTGTGGGGAGCTGACAGGCAAGGTGGGAAGAGGATTTAAATTGTTCCCTTTTCATCTGTTACCCATTTTTCAGAGCAGATGTTAAACACAGATCTTGTTGTCTTGAGTACATCATGTGGGTTTAAAAATAGTGCTCCCCTCTTCTCCTCCTGCCCTGAAAATGGGTGTGTAGCTATTTGGAAGCTAGCTCTGTAAAAGCCATTCACTCCTGCAGTCTGAGCCAAAAATGCTCATGGAGAGCAATGCAGAATGACCAGAGGGAAGGGACATGCCAACAGCAGCCTAAAGTGGCCAACAGGAACTGGACAGATTCCGGCATCACCAGCATCATGGAGGAATCATTTGTCATTTAGAAAGATTTGTGTCTGAAGAGGGAAAAAAGCTCTCACCTCCTGAACATCTAAATCCTACTTTCAGTTGCCTCTGTGGTGGGCTAGAAATGACACATAAACATAGTGAGGATATGTTATTTAACAATGGTTGTGCCACAGGCAGTGAACCTTGAGCAGCTCTGTATTACACCTGGGGACAATACACCATCATGGAGCCACAAAATTCACTTAACACTGATTGATTTGTTAGATTTACAGGCTGACTTTGCTCCAAGAATTCAAGGCAGATTCACTGCACTCCTCCTTCCTATTTTTTCCAGCAAAACAACTGTGATGTAGATTTTACTGAGAGGGAACAACTCAAAATCACCCAGTGAGCTTCTTTGGTTGAGGGTGGACTAAAATCTTTGGTTTCTTAATCCTAGTCCATCATCACAACCACCACACCCCTTGGGCTTTTACATCAAATGTTATATTTGATATTTTGAGAACAAGATTATGCACATCAACGAGTTAAAGTGCCTACAAAAGTAATGCGAGAAAGCATAAACAAGGATATCTTAAAAACAACAGAAGTGTCTGGATCAATTTCCAGTGTTTTCTAACCAAGAATCTTTCACAGAAAATAAGGGCATGTATGTTTTCTACATACAGCTGGTTCTAAAATATCTGAATTTGTCACAAACTCTTTGGACTCTGAGAAAAACCTGATGGACTGCCAGCCTAAGGAGACTAAAGAGGTAGACTCAGTATATGGTGATAACTATGAGTGAAAGTCAGATTCAGACCTTGACTAAGTGCCAAGCCCTAAAATAAGGTGGCAGTTGAAAAGAACCAAGCAATGAAGGTTTGTGCAACTCCTCAAAAGGACAGGTTGTCAACTTCTCTAAGTAGTTAAGGCCAGTAATTCTTGCTACAGATGAACATGCCCCAGGCCTCTTTCGTTGCTCTTCCACTTTTTGACCTGTATCCCATGACACAAAGTTTCCTATACCTCTATTCTGTGGACTGAAAACCAGTTTTAGATCCCTGGACAGGTTCCCATGAAGTCCAGGCTCTGGACTTTTGGACCAATGACTAAAATAGCAGATTTTCTCAGCTGTTATCACAAACTGGTTTACAGACACTCATTGTTACAGCATTTAGGCTTTCTAATGTTTGCACATTACTGCCTCCTTTACAACCTATAACCTATATTATCCCTGTCTATGCTATAGCATTGTAGTGATTTACAGCTAAGATAATGACATTCTAAGAACTAATTGTCATTTATTCTTGCCTTCTCTCCATTGTAGTATCCAAGTCTTCAAAACATAATGTGAAAAAATGGCCCTTAAGATGAAGCCTCTTTGTCATCAAGAAGGTAGAACTATTTAGCATCAATAAAGTCTCATCCTAGCCCAAAGTCCTTGTCCCTACTTGCACCTAACTAAAGCACAAGCATGCCCTGGTAGCATCCTTTTTCTGTCCCTTCATTTTGTTTCCCAGCCATGAGTGAGTCAGGTTGAAGTTGTCCTTAGCTATACTGTTATTAAGCTGGCAGCATCCAAAGACAGTGTCAGGGTTCTCTTTGCAAATACTATAACTGGGATGGCACAGGCAGGAATTTAAGGATGCACATATCTGATAAGTAAGGCTATTGCATAAACTAATGTAGATATTATGAAATATGTAACTGCTATGTATCAAATGAAAGTCCTATTTATAGTAAAATCAAGGTTCAAACTCTTGTGCCCCTCTCTCTTGCACATACAGTGCAACAGGCTTGAGGATTCTCCCTTTTGATCAGAAAGGATGGTTTCCTCTCATTTCTCATGTTATGGAAATGGAACTGTCTAGTTTTAGGCTATTTGCCTCTCACCATGCCAGAACTAGTTTTCTCACTGCCTCACCCTTCAAGTTCTCCTTTCCCCACTCCCTGTTCCTGGAAGAGCTTGGTGCTTCTCCCCTCCTTTCCCCCAGAATGAGTGGCCCAGGAATGATCCAGGACTCTTCCATTGGTCCTCTGTTTGTCTGCTGAGCTGAAGAATTCTCCCCCATCCAGAAAGCTGAAGGATAAGGATTTGTCTCCTTCCTCCCTCAGGAAACCTGAAGGAGACAACAGGCAGAGGGAAGAATCCAATACTGTAACCTCCTGTTTAGGCACTTTCCTGGGTCCAGAAATCATCCCCCCAAGAAAGAGATGAGGAAGTATCCAAAATGTCCTGACAACCAACAGCTGATGGGGAAGTAATTCCTGTGTCATGCCTCTTGACTCCAGTAGAACTTCCCAATCCAGAACTTGTTCTCCCAGGTTCAGATGGAGGTGGGATAAGAAGTGGAAGCGTGTCCATCCCATTCTGAGGATCAGAGCCAGGTAGGACAGGAACGGTTATCTTTTTTACAGATCTGCCCATTACCCCCATCCAGAAATCTGCTGGTAGATGTAGGTGCGGTTCAGGTTCTTTCTTGGCAAAAATCCCTTCCCTGTTCTTCAGAACTCCCCCCTCCCCCTCAAGAGTCCAAGTTGATAGATGCTGTAGCCAGATTACAAGGGCAGAGAAGATTGGGCTTGTACAGACATGCAGTCTCCAGCAGTAATGGGGTGATGGTGATGGTGGTCAGCAGTTTGTAGTAGGAAGCCCTGGCAAAATCCAGCTGTTCTTTAAGGAGCTGGTGTACTGCCTGAAGTTCTTGTAGAAAGTACAAGACCTCAGGATGGGAGAGAGCGAGCTATGTCAGGCAACAGGCTTGCACAGAAGGCTTGAAACAGTGAAATGTGAACAGAAGAACAAACCAAGTTGTTACATGTGAACTCAGCCACAGGCAATAGTACAGACCAATTGTTTTGCTGGTAGCTTACATAGCAATGATGGTATTGCTCTAAGGTGGCATTTGTCCTCTCTGTCTCAGAAGTGAATTGTGGGTGATGCACTGAGGAAAAATTGAGTTTAATATCTAATATTGAAAAAGAGCTTCCAAAAATAGACTGTGAATAGAATACTTCTGTTAAAAATGAGATGATTGAGCAAGCCTCAATGCCAGAACATGTGGTAGAGAATCAGCTTTTGAAGAGGTGGGAAGACTTGCAGGGGATGGAATGAACCATCTTGGAAAACACTGATGAAAACCATTATAGTGTTCATGCCCTGTAGGTGGCTGATCAGTCATCCAAGGAAACTGTGACCCAAGGCTCCTTTGGAAAGGGGAGGGGATGTAACAGGCCAGCTAGTTTGTAGTTAAAGTCCTGGCATAGTAGCAGCGGAGGCAAGAAGATCCATAGGCCTTAACATCTGCTTGGACAAGAGAAAATCAAAAATCTTGGAGCAGAAAGTGTGTGGCGTTAAATAGTCCAAAATGCCCAGATGGACAG